TTCAGTATACTTGCCAACACCATCATTCAAAGGCATCGATTCTTCAGTCTCCCTTATCTATTGTCCAGCTTTCACATGCATATGAGGCAATTGAAAACACCACGGCTTGGGTCAGGCATGCCTTAGTCCTTAAAGTGACATCTTTGCTTTACTAATTTGTGCTAAAGTTATGAAATTTAACTTTTACCCTAGGCCTTAGTCTGTTTCATTCACTGCTACATCCCCAGCATGTTGAAAAATGGTTGCCATATAATAGCTGCTCAGTAAATATTGGTTGAATGAATCCTATCAAGAAAGGGGCAAATGAGCCTCTTTGGTTCTCTACATGCTTGCTGAGATTGCTGCTATGCTCGACTTTTGTTATCACTATTTACTTACAACTTCCATGACCTCCTAGAAAATACTGAACTTGAATGCGCTATCAGCACAGGCATCATAGCACCTGCATCTCAGTATAAGCAGAACTAAACTCTTTTTGCTTCTCGTCAAATTAATATCTCTCCTACCAGATAGCATGGGAGATATTTTAGACTTTTCTCTTTCCCTATCCCATTTCCCACTATATCCAATTTGTCATTATATACAGTCCCTTCTGCCTCTTTAATATTGTTCACATCCTTCCTCACCTTGTCTTTCTCACTGCTTACTGCCTCAATCCACATTCTCTTCATTTCTTACTGGCCTGTTACAGTCAGCTCTTATCTGATGCCTGTCTCCTTCCTCAGCCCCCAACATGCCAGTTAAAACTCTGAATATATAGTAATTCTTCTGGATCATTGGTCTTCATTATTTTTTCTCCTATAATCCAAAGAATTGTGAAAAATTTCCGTATTTCCTCATGTTTTTAAGTTGACATCAAAACTTTTTATGGTAAGTTTAAATAGCCACAAAGGATGTGATTTCTGGCACATTATAATTATTGACATTTTTTAAACAAACACACGAAATTTACATCACTTTTTTAAATGTATCTAATGGACTCTAAATTCCACAGTAATTTGATATCTACCTATTCTTGTATAAATCATAAATGATAAAGTTCTTCAATAAGTATCAAAATTTTACTTTTTCTCCTCAAATTCATTTTTCAATTCCATTTTACCCACAGATCGTTTGTCTAATGTATTTTATGTCTGAGATTCTTTTATCCCTCACCCACCATAGTTCTCTGAAACAAAAAAACTTTTACACATTCAAGTTATTTTTCTTAATTTTTTGTGACAAGATTCTCAGACATATATGTGTGTATGTATCTGTATATTCTGGGTAGAGTAAGCACAATTATTTGTTGTTGTTGTTAGTAGCTGCTGAGTCGATTTGGAGTATAGTTATTAGTAATCCATAAATGATAAACAGCATGAATATGTATTTGGTAATGTATTTTGATAAAACATATTGGCAAAGTTTTCTTAGTGTCTCAATGATTTTGCACTCTGTGACACAATACACCACAGTAAAATTCAGGAGGGATGAGAAGTCTTCCTCTTTTTAGTAGAGTAGGAGAAAGGTGGTAGTGAATGGGGAAGTAGGAGTGTTGAGTTTGCATGACTCCTTAGGAGCAGATGCATTTCAGACAAAGGACTTTGGGAAGGAATTCAGATGGAAGTTGAGAAGCGGAAACTTGAGTCTCTTAAATTATCCATGTTCACATACTTTCAGGAGAATCTTCATGTTCTCCTAGTTTTCATGACACCTCTTTGGACACCAGGATTCTAGATCACAAACCAGATAAGACCACTCCCCTACTTAATTTTCAGTGACGCTCATGGCAACTGGATGAGCTACTTGATCGGCCTCACATCAGCCTCATTCTTCTTATCTGTTTCCATTTCCCTATTTTCACCCCAAGCCCTTCCCATATCAACCCACTTACCATGTCCTGAATACTGCAGTGCTGCTCCACCCATCCATGTCTTTGCACCTTTCCTCACTGGCCTAATGACAGTCATTTGTAGAACTGAAATGAGGATTATTAAGAGTGGATGCAAAGCACCTACCTACAGGTACTAAATAAATGGTGGCAATTATGAGTTTCTAATATAATTATTATATAAGGAAACAAGAGTTTCAAAATATCCCTTCAACTTTAGAAAGTTAAGTGACACAGTCATCAACTCTATGATTCAAACATATTGAAAAGTCATAATGAATTCAAGCAGTTGGGACTGAGTCCAGAAACCTGTCCTAGGCCTTTAATGATCCAAATAAAAAGCAATCAATTATCTGTTACAACCAGTGCATGTAAATATTTGTGTGATACACAGAATTTTAAGATGGCCCCAAGAATCCCACACAGTCATACATATATACACTGTATGTATTGAATGTGTGTGGGACTTGGAAATATTATGAGATAGCAACTCCTGTGATTAGGTTATGTTATATAGCAAAGGTGAAGAGATTATGCAGGTATGCAGTTAAAGTCCCTAATCAATTGATTTAAGTTAATTAACAGGGAGATTACTCTGAGTGGACCTGACCTAATCAGATAAGTGCCTTAAAAAAAGAATTGCCACATTGTGGAGAGGGCCATGTGGAGGGAATGTCTGGCAGTCACTAGGAGCTGAGGGCCTCAAGCCTACAACCAAAACAAACTTCATTGTGCCAACAACCAGTGAACTTGGAAGGGAACCGAGTCATATGAGACCAGCAAGCCTGGCCAACACCTTGATTGTGGCCTTGTGAGACTCTGAGTAGAGGACCTACCTGAGTCATGCATGGATACCTGAGCCACAGAAACCATGAGATAATAAATATACATTGTTTTAAAACACTTTAAGTTTTTGGTAATTTGTTATGCAACAGTAGAAAACTAATACAGAATTGAAACCACCACAAAATTCGGGTGTGCATTATAGGCTTTACTATAATGTAAGCCGAAACATTTGGCAAAATATTCATTAAACATTATATCTTATGCTTTCTAGAATATCAACTTTGTTTTGTTTCGTTCATTTTAATAACAATGTAATCTCTGTTTTCATATGTTATAGTCTAAAAACTATTTTCTATAATAAACTATTTCTAAAATATTCCCAAGTCTCAAAAGACTTTTTTAACCTAAACTATATAGGTTTGGCTCATGAACTCTGCTATCATTTTCTTAGAATTCTTATCCTATATGCACCACCCTCTCTTTAACAAAGCCATCAGAATCTGCATGTTACTTGTGTAATTAGCCCATTCCTATTTGGACAGAAAAGAAGAAGCCTATGTAATAGGTAGGAAGTGTCGTATTTATTCTGTTTCTTTCCTCACAGTCTCTTCTAAAAATAGTCTAAAGACTGATTTCGAACTGAAGAGGAGGGCAACGTTTGGATTTTTAGTGCGTGTGTGCCAGCCGTAGGGTGAGTGTGCATATGGGTGCACACAGGCACACACGTGTGTGTATTTCTGCTTGTCTCATTCCAGAGTTTGTAAGTATACCTAAAACACATTAAAAGCAAAGGGAAACAGTTGGATTATTGGACCTAAATAGTCTAGAATGATGGAAAGATTAATAAAATTAAAAAGTCAATAAGTAGAACTAACCCTTCTATACAGAGCAACACTGTCAGAAGAATCATTTTTTATTTTAAAGGACAAAACAGATGATTCAATTTCCCTGGAACATCGTGTTCCACTCTGAGAGGCTTCCAGACTCTGCAGTTATTTCACATATGCCAGGAACACCCCCTTTCTATGGGCTTTATTTCAGTGGTCAAAATATGTCCTTTTATTAGCAGGTCTAAGAGGAGAGAGATTTACCTTAACAGCCATACAGTAGAACTGCCCCATAGGGTTTCTAAGGAGTGCCTGGTGAATTTGAACTGCCGACCTTTTGGTTACCAGCCAATCTCTTAACCACTGTGCCAACAGTACCATAGTATGGATAATATTGAATTAGGCTTGTTCAGAGGAATATCCCCATCATGCTGCTATGGGGAAGTATGGAAATATCTATCCATGCCCTAACCATTGTATATGTTATCATTTTGGGATGCTAGTACCTGATCCTATGTAAATTCTTTATCTCTCTCCTGTATGAATGTGTGTATGTATATATGTATATATATATATATATATATATATATATCTTTATATTATCAAGTCAACTTATAACACTATTATACCATACAAAATGTAGCATAATAGTAATAGCATAATAATAGCAATTCCACTATTCTTAAGGCATTTTAGACAATTGACAAAATAAGGCTGGTAGTCATAGAAATAACATTTTTATATCCAATTATTATCCTATATTATTTCAGAAAAGAGAAGAAAATAAATGTTTCAGCCATGGAGGAGAGGACCAAGTATTCATCAAGGGATACCACAAAGCAAATGAGAACAGGGGTTTTTAAATTTTTTTTTTTTTATAAATTCAAGAGAGTTGGATAAAGGCTTGCAGCTAATATGTAGAAAAGGATTGCAGGACTGCAAAAAGATAGGTTGAAGCAGAAGGTAGGCCGCATTCAAGAACAGCTGGAGAGGTGGAGTTCAGCTAGTAAAGACTGAGGGCATCTGTGAGAAGCTACTAGTAGACTTATTATTCTTCATAGCAGCCTCTGTCATTTACCAGAAGAGGTTCACAATCAGTTGACAGCTCATGTTATGTCTCTGGGAAGGAAATGTAGGGTAACAGAGACGATACAGGATTGGAAGGTAAGAATACAAGGTCCCAACTTTTACTACCCTAATGACTTTGTCATACTGCACATGTTCCCTGATCTTCATGGATTTTTCCTTTTTTTTTTGATGGCATGAGTTTAGGCCTTTATCACACATATAAATGTTTTGTATATATGTGTGCATCTGCCTATTTATCTCTTTCCAAATAATGGCTGTATGAAAATTTGAAAGATTGGGTAGGATTATGTAACACATGCTTAAAATATTAAAACCTGCAAACATTAAAGCATCAGGTAAAATCGTTGTTAACCTGTCTCACTAATAATCACCTGCTTAGATCCAGTTTGTGAGAAGAAAAGGAAGCCATAAATTTGACCCTAACTTACCGCACATTTTAATTGCACAGTACTCCCAGGGGGTGTCAGGGTCAAGAGTATAGCACCACGGCCTCGGCTTGCCATCAGGATTGCGGCAATAATTATCATCAAAGCCCTTGTCGGGATATCTGCAAACCACACCGAGAAAAGTGTCACGTAAATCTGCCTGGAAACACCACCCAGCTCTCAACTTACAAAATAACTTTCCACTTACCTTGGATATTACTAGCTGAGGAAAGAGGAGGTTTTCTATATTTCACCTTACAAGGATTGCTAATTATTGACTATGAAATCTATTAACTTACATATTCCACCAAGTTGAGAGTACCATCCTCTTTACTCATAATTTAGGTTCATTTGGTGTCTGACTGGTAGTTGAAATCCCAAACTGAATACCCATCTCATAGAACCCAGTTGAGGACAGATTACATAAATATGATCTCACGTAGAATGCTCATTAAGAAAACAGATCCTCTTCTAGGGCAGACTTTTAAGTTCAAACTGAAAGTTAGGTTTCAATAGCTCTGTTACTAATGATAGCTCCATTTTGGAAATAGAACCTTTCGAGGTCATGCCCTCACCTCCACCAGAGCAAGAGACAAACTCCATCACACCACCTTCTCCACCACCTCTCACCCTTTAAATGAACAGAGCCCTGAATTGGTGACTTGATTTTAATTGCTACCATATCCCTTCTGCTCTCGCTTAAAAGTAAGAGATGCGTTTACAAAAAGTAGAGTTTTAATTTCACTTAAATGAACCACCCCTCCCCTTCCCGAGAAAAGAGAGATAAAAAGAAGAAAGAAAAAACACCTTTCTAGAAATTGCTTAATAAAGATAAGAATGGAGTTCTCCCTGTAATTATTTGTATTTTTATTCTATGTAATAAAAATAATTCTCTTTTTTCCTTTTTTCAACTAAAAAGTTTCATCTGAAATTAGTGGGCAAATGGAGACATAATTTTTTTAACTATTTAAATTCAAAACCTATTCCTGGGAGAGAAAAAATAGAATTAATTGCCTGGCTTCTCCAGATTGGCTGTCCATATTGGCAATTTCAAAACACACCAGGAAAAGCAACCAGATAATTGTTTACTTATGATATATGTCATGGTGTTATACATGGAATCCCACAGTACTTGGGTCACAGAAGATGCTGCTCTAGAAGGAGATTAGCTTCAATTTAGCAATAATGCCTCCTCCACAGCTCAGGCCAGTCAAACTGGTCAGTTTTTAATGGGCCCCTGTCTTTTTTAGGAGCCCTGGTGGTGCACTGATTAAGAGCTATGGCTGCTACCCAAAAGGTCAGCAGTTTGAATCCACCAGCCACTCCTTGGAAACCTTATAGGGGAGTTCTACTCTGTCCTATAGGGTTGCTATGAGTTGGAATCGACTCAATGTCAGTGGCAACAGGTTGTCTTTTTTATGCTATGGAAGAGAAAAAGGAGGCTTCTTAAAGTGCTTCCCCTGTGCACTCTGTGTCCAGGACCATCCTGATTTCAGGGACTTTTAACCAAGTCAGCCAAGACCAGTTGAAAGTGTAGCTACTACAGGCAATCCCTGGGTTATGAACATCTGACTTATGGACAACTCGTACTTGAGAATGGACTGCTATAAAGCCTATAATATTAAAAATTTGAGTTAAATACGATGGTTAGTAATAATGAATGCACACACTACTTTGTGACACTCATGAAAACATTGCCCAGCTTGGAAGTGTTTCTTAAGTGTTCTATGCGTAGAAAAGTAAAATATAGACTATATACTAAGGCAAACATTTAACTAACTGATGCTAAATAAGAACCGTATGTACCTGTTCTGATTTACTTACAAATTTGACTTAAAGATAGGAACAGATCTCGTTCATAACCTAGGCACTGCCTGTATTCTCATATACCCCACCACAAATTCCTTTTTCCCAAGACTACCTCCTCTAAATGTAATGGCTCAAGAACTTTTGTCAGAAGAATCCTGAACATTCAGGGGAGTTCTAAATTTTATGTTCATGTCCTAACAGGAAAAGATCATAGAAAGAGAATTTCAATGGCAGTTTGTCATGGAGCAAATAATAGACAATTTGTAGAAAGAATCATTAGTAGCATGATTCAGTTGTATTTTACCTTTCTGGCAAGAATTTGTGCCGGTGTGGTGTCTGATGATCCCAGCGCTGGCAAATCTTGCCTGATTCTGTGTGATCCATGGGACCTCGATAACTTTCCCCATTGCAGGTCATGCATTCAACTAATAAAATTAAAGTATGGCATGTTAATCACTTCTGACAGCAAAATCAAGAACACTACTGTTCCATTTAAAGAACAGTAAATCACTTGTTTGGCAAAGAGACTTTTAGAAATCTCTACACATCATTCTAATTTTAAATTAGGACCTAATATCCATCACTAGTGGCATAAAATACTCCCCACAGAACTCTTCGGATAGTTTAAATAGGATTTTTGTAATTAGAGTCGTTCAGATTTAGTATAGGGCCAATGCCCTGCCTATGTAATATTTTACAGTTGTACAAAAGGCACCTGGGAATTGGGCATATAAGATCAACCCTTGTGGGCTTTTCCCTTGCTGGTCTATAATAGAAGTGATCTCAGTGTTTATACAGTCAGAACAATAGTTATTCTCTCTTATCTTTCCTCCTTCCCTGTCAAATAAGAATTATGCAATTTTAATGGAATATGTTATACTCCTACAATTAAGGCCTTAATCAGGACCAGATAGATTTGAGAAACTGTCTTCAGTTAGAAATCTGGTACTATTCGAACAATACAGATATTTTAAAAGAACAAATCATGGCTCCTTTCTGTTAGTGAACGTCCATGCTGAATAGGCTGGTCAGGTTTATATTCTTATCTAGCTTAGGATAGAAGGTGACCTGCTATTGAACTCCTAGTATCACCTTTTTTTAAAATGTATAAGCTGATCTAGTTATGCAGGATCTTACTGATGATTCTGTGAGGCTAATTAACAATTCTCTTTTGGCTGGCCTCAAATGTCACACTGAAAACTCTGAATCACATCAGCTAGCTGAAAATGAGACTTCTCAAATGGACAGGTTGATTTGTAGCACGGCAGGCATCCTGTGGAATAAATCATTGCTTGGCTTCCCTATGAATCCGACAAACTTCCCCAAACACATCATTTGTATCTTGTGATTAACTGATCATCTAACTTTTAGCTAAAGTGGGGAAAGATATCAATGTTTAGTTTTATCCACCAGGATCTAGCTGATGAGTATTTGTTGTAATTTGGGATATAATATTAGAGTCATCACTTTTGAACCTTTGATTTTTATAATCTATTAGGGTATTAACTATTAACTTTCTGAAACAGGAGACCATTTGGCTTGAGCTGTCTTCCTTTCACGTAGTTTAGTCCATAAACTAAGACAAGGAGCCAATTCAGCTTCCCCTCATTTGATACTGAGATTCCCCAGACTACAATCAATAAGCACCTGAACTGTAAATTAGAGGGGGTCTAAGAGCATATTGACAAAGGTGCTCAGGTTAGCCAAGGTCATTTCCACATTGAAACTCTTAACATAGGTTATGCATCATCACATTTCAGCTTCCCAGTTGAACAGCGTATAGATTTATTTAGTTTTCTTTTTAAAAAGAATGTAAGCTGTGATATCTTCATAGAAAATGAGATGGCATTTATCATTGCTGTTTGATCCTTTATATTGAGGGAGAAATAGAATAGAGTATTATGTTTGAGTTTAAGAAATAAGTATACACATGTGCAATTTCGAACAATGTATAGTTTTTATATATTCAGCAATCAGAATGTATTATATATCCTTCAGCAAATGCAGTTTGTAATAATATATCCCTTTCTAATGACAGTGACTAGGATTAGTTTCTGAGAAGCTGTACTATGGGCATAATTATAAAACATTTTTCCTGGACTTAAGGATTTTTGATTTTCTTAAGGAAAAAAATAAGTACACAAATGAAACAGATGATTCTATAAGATGACTATTTTCCAAAATGCATATGGTAGATCAGTGTTTCTCCAAACTTTAATGTGCATAGAAATCACCTTGCGATCTTGTTAAGGGGCTAATTCTGATTCAGGGGGTTTGGGCTGGGGCATTAATAACAAGCTCCCGATGGTTCCTGATGCTGCCGGGTCCATGAACCACACTTTGAGTAGCAAGTATGTCGGCAATTTGTTCTATTCTAAACGTCCTAAGTATTTGGCAGTGATGGCTTTTTAGTATAGACTAGAATTTACTTGGACCTTGAAGGATGAATGAGAATTGGATAAGCTATAAAGGGACAAAATAACATAAAATGACACAGAAACATGAATTAGGTTGTTACGTTTGTGGTAAAGTGAAGAGAGACATGGCTGCAGTTATGGGCCTAGTGAGAAAAAACAAACAAAAAAGCTAACAGGAATAATGTTAGGTTTTAGAAGTCAATGAAAGTTGTTGTTGAGGTAGGAATTAAACATGTTCTGTGACAAAACTATGATACTAAATACCTTAAATTTGCATATTCTATGATTATTTATACAGGATTTTTAACATATAAGATTCCGTTTGATCTTTGCAGTGAGGAAAAACAAGGCTCACAAAAATTGTAAGGAACTTACCCAAAACAGAAAATGTCAAACCTGGATGTGGAACTCAGGTCTTCTGACCTATAGTCTAGTGTTCTTTCCATTATTCTTAATTGCTTTTCATGTCCTACATATTTTAACCTGTTTCCTACACATTCTAACTGGCCATACTTTAGGATGAATTGATAGTAATACTTTTAGGAATTCAAAATCCCTGCTTTTTTCAAAATTGTCCTCATTACCCTCTGCCTTCTTGTTTACAACAGTAGTTTGGCCTCTGTTGCGTTCGCACCTATTGAAGGACTGGAAAAAGGAGTATATGGGAAAGCAATTAGATTGGCCATCTTATCCAAGGTGAATGGCTAGAAATTTTGTATTTTGCCTTGTATCAGACCATCAGGTTAGCCATAAAAATTATCTCAAGCAAGTCAAATTTTGAAGTCACATTCACTTTTCAAACTTCCAGAGTTCTAAGAATCTTCCGAGTTTTTCCCAGCTCAAAGGCAAACAGTACAGGCAGAAGCCAAGTCCACCTATTCAAGAAACCAAGTGAAAGTACCAACTATATAATAGTGAGTGGGGGTGAAGATTTCCGTTTCTGCTCTTCCTTATTTTGGCTATCTCTATTGATACCAGTGCATTATTTAATGGTTCCAGAAAATTCTTCCCTTTAAAAAATACAAAAGCAAAATACTGTCCTAGGTCACATAAACTCAAATTATGTAAAAATTTCTGTTCATAAGTATAATATGTTTTCTAAGAATATTGGAGCCCTGGTGGCACAGTGGTTAAGAGCTCAACTGCTAACCAAAAGATCGGCAGCTAAATTATAGTAGAAAATTACAAAAGCTATACACACATTGTAATATAAGTAGGATTAATTTAACATGCTTCTCCTAATAACCAACTAAAAAAAAAATTATTGTGTTCTATTTTTCTGATTCATAAAACCACAGGTAATTCTGAGTTTACAGGCTAAAACAATTATTTTGAAAGTATCTGAATCTATTTTTAATCAATGTTTATTTTACTCTAATAAGGGTGATCTCCAAGGGGAAAAAAATCCATGCTGGTGAGTACTTCAGCACAACTGAATGTTTAAAATGTGAAAAGCCTCACAAATCTACATTTATAAGTAATAGTTTTATTTAAATCTTTTTAAAAGTCTTTCTCCACACAGAGTATGGAATTACATACGTGAAGCCATGGCCGTATCATTTGGGGATTTTAAGTATAAGGTATTAAAAAATAACGATTACAGCTTAATGAAAATATATTTACTCGGTTATTTGACAATATTTGACAAGATAGCATTAAAGAAGACATCTGTCCCAATGACTAATGATTGCTTATATTTTAAATCCAAAGCAAATGCTAAGGCAAAAAAATGGATTTTGCATACCTCAACTTTCTGTAATTTTTCAATTAAGCATTAGTGATAGTATTTTTTTTACATAACTATATTACTTTTGGGTGCCGTCAAGTCGACCCCATGTGACTGAGCACAACTGCCCCATATGGTTTTCTTGGCTGTAATCTTTGAAGAAGCAGATCTCCAGGTGCTTCTCTCACAGATACACTGGGTGCGTTCCAATGCCAACCTTTCGCTTAGCAACCAAGAGGTTAACTGTTTGCACCACCAGGGCTCTGATTATATAAATATGTGAGGTTCAAATTGTGATACAAGAGTATTCATTTTCCTTTGGAATGCTTAATATTTTTCAAAGCTTTAAATAAGAAAATCATCAATATTAGCCATTGGATATCAGATACATTTCTTTTTGCATCAGAATTTCAAATAAATTTCAGATGACTACTTAGCCAAGAGTTTAATATAGTTATAAAAATTTCATAAAATATATACTGTTCTATATGTCGTCTTGAAAAGAACAATCCAAAGTTTGACTATAGATATTTTTATTATTTAATTTTAAATGTACAAAATGATTTGATAGCTACTTCCTCATCCATAATGATGAGGGACAGAAGTCACCTTTAGAAGTTGCCATTTAATAAATTAGTACCAATAGACAGAAAGGGCTCACCCACTATTCTATTTAAGCATTCTGGATTTTGCAATTTCCCTCTCACATTTTTATTTTATTAATATAAAATTTTTATATCATATCTACATTATTTTGTCTATTTTATACTTTTTATTTTATAGACAGCTCTGTTTTTTTCTCAATTACTATGTTGGAAATGCTTCTTATTTTGGATCCTCTTCATTAAAATCCTGCTAAAACATTGTTCATTTTAGCTTGAATTAAATATCACAGTTCATTTTATACTCCCTGAAATATGCTTAGCCTACAGGGCAGATGCTGGTTCACTTCTCTCAGAGGAGGGTTATTCTACTACTGTCATACCTCTAATTGTTTCCAGAAAGAGCATATCTGCAATCTTTAGTGTCACAGTGACCAATAGCATCGTGTGCCATTAATACTAATGAGCACTGCTCTTTTCTAAGGGAGGTACAATGACCTCAAATTATTAAAAGATATTAGAGAGTTACATTCTAATGAGATACGAATAACTGGAAATATTATTTCCCCAATTACTTCTGTTCTAGCATTTATTATTCTAAATCACCTGCCAATCAGTCCAGACCTGTGTTAATTGTATTTTGATGAAGGTTCTTCTTATAAACTAGGGGTTGAAAAATCACATTCCCACAGGGTTAAGTAGGTAAAATAATACTAAGCTGTTCATAGATTGCCCAAGTTATTTGCCTATAAAAATACTTTGCCAGGTCAAGCAAAACCAATAAACAAAACATCTTGCCAATAATTTTCAACCTCAGAAAACTGTGATATTTGAGATTTCCCTAAGAGTAGGGATTTTTTGCTTCCATGTGTAAATTTAAGACAAATATCAATTACGAACTTATTCATACAAAACAGACTTGTTCATAACGTTATCACAGATAAGTTTATTATTTTTAAAAGAAAAGAAAACAATGGAGAAAGTTATAGTGAACAGAATATGATATGAAATGGAAACTGAGAATTTACAAACAAGAGGTGGAACTGGCTCTAGCACATGAAGTTAGGACTTTAACTAACAACAGAAAACAAATTCACTTTCTCTGTGACAATTAGCTAACAGTGGCCTTTACTCTTATGTGGTAAATATCAACCTAATATTAAATGTATATTTATGGAGAAAATTTTTCAAAAAACGTTTTTTCATTAACAACAAACAGGTAAGATACCTTACTATAAAAATTGGACAGCATTCCAGCAACCGCCAAACTCCAGGTACTTTAAAATTCTACTAAATTTCTAACAGATACTTAATCCTTATTTCATTTGAAATTTTAGAGTTTCTGACAGAACTAAAATATAAAACAAAAATAAAACAACAACAAAAATAACCCAGCTATTCAACAGCCAGGTAACTAAGAAAATCACACCACATACAATGCTGAAATGGTTAGTTTTCCATCTTGTCAGTTATTCAGTTTTCCATTACAAAAGTAAGGAGAGTGCCCATTTATGCTGTGAGAGGAGGTGAGAACATAGACATGGATTTAGGGTGCCTGCCTTCAAGACAGCTTGGGATCCATTGCTTTGATCTCTTCAGATATATTCTGAATGGTACTTAGTTCCAGTCTATGTGTCAAATTTGGTTCTAGTCACATTTTTACCAAAACACACACGGGGCCTGTCAAATTTCCAGTTTCCCCTCCCATATTCTCTTCTGGGCTCGTAAACCCTTGCCACACCACTTCAGAATTGACTTGACAAAGTTTCTGCAGAAGCAGGTGCCAGATGAATAGAATTAGCATTACTAATAAAGGGCTACGTTCCATTTGTCCCCTTTCAGGTGATGTACAGGATCATATTTTGAGGTATGTGAGCTCAAGACAGTACGTTAGTAAGCCCACTCTTACTCTCCGCTGAGGGCTGCCTCAGGCGCTGTTGAAATTTAAACTAAAAACTCACCCATTATCTTGAATTAATCTGGTGATAATCATAGAGCTTAAAAAATATGTAAAAATGCTTTAAAAAGTTGAGTATATTTGTGTTTGGATGAACAACATATTTATTGTGATTTGATTGCTTCTGTTAACCTTTAATGTGAGTTACAGTTCCACGCATAGGGGGAACAGAGTGCCCCAGATGGCATTCAGGTTCATTTACCTTCTGAACACTGAGGAATGTCACAGACTTCGTAGCGTACCTCTGGATTGCTTGTGAAACACCACGGTCCCCCTTCTTCCCCTCGAGGATTTCGACAGTAGTTTTCCTGTAGGTCTTTACCTCGATAGCTCGAAGGCAAAAAGCTAGTTTTAAAATGATAATCATTACAGTATAAGAGCATGCAACTTTATTTTTGGTCTATTAATTTTACTAATTAGTGATTATATTGTCCGTGAAAGTAGAGAAACCCTTTATTTTTTCTCAGACCTCCATATATTTTAACTTGAATTCTGTCATTTCCCTCCATTCTTAAAATACTAACATTTCATAAACATTAACTTAACTGAATTTGAACATCAGCATCAAGTTTAAAATGATTAGCCTCTAGATTGGCTAAGAGCCAAACATTCTAGAACTTAACTGAAATCATTTGAACCACCATTTCAAAGCTTCACTCCAAGGCAACCAGTGGTTGAGCAAAGCCACTTAGGAGACCACTGAGGAGACAGTGCAATTGACCTTGAAATCTCCCTATTTCACTGCTTGTCCACGATAATTACTTGTTTGTTTATTGCTTTTCTTATAAAGAGTAGCCACTTTTTTTCCTGCACAGTTGAGAAACAGATTGATGAAATAGCATGAATAAAGTTTCCAGAATCAGATTAAACCTGGACTCAAATTTGAGCTCTTTCGCTCACTAACTGTAAGACACTAGCAAATAATTTAGACTCTTTTAGCCTAAGTTAGCTTACCTGTACACTGAATATAGTAAATAAATTATAACATCTTCCACCTTATATGGTTGTTTTGAGAAGTTCCAAGAGATGATGGAGTACTGTTGTTGTTGCTGTGTGTCAAGTCGATTCCGACTCACAGAGATTCTATATGAGAGTAGAACTGCCCCATAGGGTTTTCTAGGCTGTAGCCTTTACAGGAGCAGATCACCAGGTCTTTTCTCCTTTGAAGCTGCTGGTGGGTTCTGATGGCCAGCCCGCTGACCTTTTGGTTAGCAGCCAATCGCTTAACCCTTGCACCACCAGGGCTCCTTGATAGGGTACTGGGCACTTAATAAATTCTGCCTATTATTAAGAAACTCTACTTAATAGTCTCTCCTCTGTCATAGTAAAGAACTGAATGACTTATTTCCTTCAAAATATTTGTTAATTTTGACTGTGACTGGGGTTTGGTAATAATAGTGGGCCATCTGGTACAGGGACTATAATGAATTACTTGTGCTTAAACTTTCTAATACCTTATAGTTTTGTTATCAGCATAAAGTATTTCAACACAACATCAAAAAACTCCAAAGCCTTTTTATTGTTTTGTATTGCTTGAGGGCACTGAACTCAAAAATGCTGTATTTGTCTGCTAGACTGCACTAAAAAAATCACAATAAGTAATATACATCTATAGATAAAACTGGTGGTGCAGTGGTTAAGAGCTGTGGCTGCTAACCAAAAGATTGACTGTTCAAATCCACCAGCCACTCCTTGGAAACCCTATGGGGCAGTTCTACTCAGTCCTACAGGGTCACTATGAGTCAGAATCAATTCTGCAGGTTTGGTTTGGGTTTATAAATAACACTAGTAAAAATTTTCTTTGCAAATCCAGTTACATTTCCAATACTCAGTACAGTTTTTGCTATAAAGTTTTATTTCTGCTTTTACTAATCTCTGAGTTCTAAATGGTATTTAAGTTAGAGTCACATTCAAGGATTTTACATGTCCAAACATCCAGTGAAGGAATCATCATTTTTCTTTATGCTGTGACACAAAATGAATACAGACATGCATTGGGTACCAAGCAAAATTTTGTAGTGAAATTCTTTCATTTGGACATGAACATACACCAAAGAGTTAAGTACTCAGAAAATATAAATTATTGGTCAAAAAGAAATTATCTATTCTAAAATACATAAGGCGACCTTAGCTTTTTCAAGGAACTTATGAGATATTATTAGCATTATACAACTCCAAAGAGTCTTTAGATGAAGATTTTATATCCTTACTTCATTAGTATTTTAAATATGGGGAAACAAAAATAAGGTATTAGGCCATATATGACTGACAAAAAAACTAAATCTTAAAGCTCATCATGACTTCATAGTTCCTAACGTAATAAATTTTCAAAGGAAAATGAGGTAATTTGTCTTTAGTTCTGTTTTAGCCCCATCATTCCAGAAAATTTTAGGATATCTTTTGTTAGTGCAATTGCTTGCAAGTTATTTTCTTTCATTTTTGCCACCCTTGACTTTTCATGGTAAATTTATAATGAAAATATCTATTTTCTGACTGAATCAAAGATGTTTATATAAATATATTTTTATAAAATAATGTATTAATAAAATTTGCTTAATGAAAATCTACTGTAACTCAATTTTTATTAAAAAATCTGAGTTAGTATAAAGGTAATAATAAGTTACTGTTAATCACAAAACCTACATTGTTGTCTCAATATACATCACCACCCTGCTATTTAACATTAGTGCTTACACAATTTATTTATTTTCTGGGTTTCTATTTCTTCACTCTAAGATGAATGGAGTAAACTATTACAAGGTTCTTTTTTCTGTATCATTTTATGCATTATGTTTACTAAAAAACTAGATAGTGGTTTTAGTACATGTTAAATATAAAACCCTATTGTTGTCCAGTCAATTCTGAATCATAGCAGCCCTATAGGGCAGAGCAGATCTGCCTCACAAGGTTTCCAAGGCTATAAGTCTTTATGTAAGCAGATAGCCACATCTTTCTCCAGTGGAGCAGCTGGTGGGTTTGAACCACCAACCTTTCAGTTAGCAGCCAAGCACTTAACCACTGAGCCAGTAGGGCTCCTTACATGTTAAATATACAATGTATTAAATATCTACTTTTTAAAAAATTTTTGCAATAGTGTATCTTTGGTTATGTGTATTTTCACCAACAACAAAAAAAAAAGGTCCTCCAAGGTCGAAAAGGCAGAGTGTTGACATGTCATGGGGTTGTTAACCAATGTCATAAAACAGTATGTGTACTGACTGTTTTAATGAGAAACTATTTGTTCTGTAACCCTTCATCTAAAGTACAATAAAAAAATTATTAAAATAAATAAATATCTACAGTTTTAGAAAGAATTTTTGTGCCACCCACAATGCACAGACACACATAAATAAGCACACATATATACACATATACCTTTCCAGTGGACTTGTGAAGAAGTAGTAAATGAATCAAAGATTTAATAGTAAAAATACAGCTGCGAAGGAAGAGAGAGAAAGTAGAAATAAAAACTAGATATGGGTGAAATATAATTAAAGTATTCCTGCTGGAGTTAATAAAATGAAGAGAAAAGATAGACTTATTTCCACAATGTGGTATCAATCCATATCAAATTCCTCTTTAGGATGTGGAAGGTAAAAAGCAGTCTGGGTCATCTCCTCTCTTCATTTTCTGGTGTATATGACTTATACCCAAGTTAACTAATTTTCGTTGTGCTTTCTGTGGTGTTTAGCCTGCTTTTCTTTAGTATCCCATACTTGCAAGGGATGAAGCTTAGTCTTGATCTTTTCACGTATATGTTCATTCAACAAATGTTTATGAGACCCTATTACACATAAGGCCTGTGGTAGTCCATAGGGTCTGTAATAAAGCTTTTAATCGTATACATAGTATTTTTGGTTCTCTATTTTTACTGATAGCAAGGCTTTGAGATAAGTGAAGATATATTTAAAATTGGTTTATATCCAAGTATACTTTGAAATATAAATTAGGTCTTCTAGGAGCTAGCCTCTCTTTCTTTTCTTTTAATATAAACTGTGTTTACAGAAAACTTGATCTATTCCATCATCTGCTTCTTTAATGAATGCTGGGTGGCCAGTGAAGGATACAGATGTAGATATCAGGTCACCTGATTTTCTGGGTAAGCTTCTATACTAATTTCATCATCTATCATCATCTTCCCATTAAGCCACTTGTAAAATATTTTAATGTAGGGAGTCAACAATAAATCACTTCTCCAGCCAGAGACATATTTTTTCCCATTTCCCATAAAATTAATCTTTAGTTAACACTTAAATAAAAAGTGTTAAGCTGGCATGCAGATATTCCAATAAGCCTCTAATTAATGAAAATTAAGTGTTTTTCCTGATGTATACAAAAAAGAATTTGATTAATATACAAGATCTTCCCAACAATAAACCTCCATATCACAAGGAAAAGTTCGCTGGTAAGACAGTTTACTGGACTGGGAAGCCATTTCCCAGGGAGATCTATTACACATTTACTCGTCTAGGAGAGAATCACAATCATAGAGCATTTGGGTTGAAATAAGACCTCTTACTGGGTCAGTCTGTTGAACTCTCCTGGACTGGGGTAGGATTGATTTCAAACGCTATTCCTTTGTTCATGAAAAACTTACCAACATCTTTTCAAGGACAGGTCTACAATTTAAATAAAATTCTTTCTTTACCATCCAGGGAGTGACACCCTGAAAATCCTTAAGAAAAGACAAAAGCAATTATATATGCATATATACTTTTTGGAAACCCTGGTGGAGTAGTGGTTGAGTGCTATAGCTGCTAACCAAAAGGTCAGCAGTTTGAATCCACCAGGTACTCCTTGGAAACTCTATGGGGCAGTTCTACTCTGTCCTATAGGGTCGCTATGAGCCGGAATCGACTAGACGGTAATGGGTTTGGTTTGGTGATAGACTTTTTAATATAAGGATAATACTATATTTGGGAGGCATTCCTATATAGTTGTAAGTAACTAATTTGAAGGAAAAAAATGTTGTTTTCTATTACTGTAATACTGTAGAACACTGTAGACCTTGGACACTTATTAGCTGGTGTTGATTAGCCTGAGATCACAGTTTTTATCTCAGTATGGGACAATTAACTCTTTCGTTTTTTAATGTGAGCTAATTCATTAATTCTATTCTGTTTCCTGAAGTAAAATCATCTTGCAAAATTTTGCCATGAAAAGTGGAATGGAACAAGAAGTGAATTTCTCAAGGCAAAGTCATCACCACTATTTCCAGAATAATGCACAGTATATACTGTACTGATGGGGCAAATGTTTCATGCCCTGTGGTTGTTAATAGCACAGGTTATATATAGTGACACTGGCTGGGCTTGCATTCTGGCCGTACCACTTACTAGATGTGTATGACCTTGGGCAAGTTACTAAGGCTCTTCGTGCTTTAGTTTCATTATACATAAAATAGAAGTAATCAGACCACCTACACTATGTGGTTCTTGTGACGATTAAATGAGATAAACTAGATACTCTGCACAGCAAGATGATCGGCACATGGTAAACTCTCATTAACATCTTTACAGATTAAGGGGGAAATATTTTATCTACATTGTACCAATGTTAAATCTGCTAGTGTATTTAATAACCAGGGGGGCAGCTGTTCAAAACTACTTCAATTCCTGTTAAATTTATTTGTGAAATACATCTTGAAAATCTGTAACTGTATTTAGTTCTTGCCCTGGTGGCACAGTGGTCAAGAGCTTGGCTGCTAACCAAAATGTTGACAATTTTGAATCCACCAGCTGCTCCTTGGAAACCCTATGGGACAGTTCTACTCTGTCCTGTAGGGTTGCAATGAGATGGTATCAACTCGATGGCAATGGGTTTGGTTTTTTTGGGTTTTTTTAGTGGGGACTGGATGTCTGTGTTTCTTCTCCATGATGATTAAAACCCTCAATCTAATGAACCTGTTGATGTAATGTTTACTCATCTTTAAATAGTATTCATCTGTTAACAATGAAACACTTCTCTTAAGCGTGGACATTAATTTCCATGGAACAAGAAGTTTTCCCCAGTCATTAGGCAATAGATGAAATGGGAAAAGCTGGTCAACCTGAGGCAAGAGTTCTTAGTTCTTGATTTTGGCTGCATAATTGTTTAAAATATTTTACCAGTATTACTTGTGCTTGGCTTATTGCCCAAGAGATTCTGATTTAATTGGTCTGCGTTGCAGCCTGGGTGGTGAGATTTTTTTTAAGAACTCTGCAGCAGAGTTAATATGCAGCCAAGGCTGAGAACACCAAGATTAAGGAACACTCGGCCCTCAGGTAAGGTCAGCGTTTGATTCACCTTGGGGTTTATCATCTCTCCAGCTGCTTCATGTTGTACCTTCTCAAAGGCAAAGAAAGAGAGTAAGAAAAATATTTTACTTTAGATGGTATCATTATTTCTTTGTAAACACCAAAATCTGTAAATTGAGACAATGGAGTAAAATAATGATAGGCCACATCTTAATGATAAATTTATTTTTCTTTTGCTAAGTATTTGGACATGAGTTCACATACGTCTTGGCCTAATATGATTCAGCAAAGTCGGCTTAGTTATTATAAAACTAAAGGATTATTCTGAAGGACTAATGTGAGATTGTTAACATGTATTTTAAAGAGAGAGGCTCTGTCCTCTTTTCTTCATGCTGCTCTTACCTGTGTTCGTGTGGTATCATGGAATTCCAGGGCTGGCATTTGATGCCACTCTTAGTGATAGATACTGTTCCCTTGTAGCTGCCCCCTTTGCCAATGATGCAATTTCTAATGTAGTCTATTGGAAGAAAGCAGAGATAAATTTCATAACTATGTGAAACATATGCTGTGTTTATGAAAGAAAAAAAATAAAATTCCATTCAAAACTGTAAATAATTAACTCTTGTAAACTATTTCAAATAATATTGACATTTCTTTCCTAAAGCTTCTACTAGTATTTTCAAAATAATACATTTGAGAATAATCCAAAACAAAAGACTATTGAGAAGTTTTAATTTGTGTGTATATACATGGATAACTGCAGAGATTAGTCTATGTACTCAACATAACTTACTCTGTTTGCTAGGCAAATTTAATTTGGTGATATGTGCAAATATATAGTCCATTTTAACAAAATATTAAAATCAAAAATTAAGTAAAGTTTAAAACCTTCACTAAATTCAGAAAGCCACTTTAAAATAACTAATTAAATTATATAAGTTATTTAAATTTTAATTAAATTTATTAAACAATAGAGTAAATTTTTATATGTCTTTATCTCAGTAAAATTGTATGGGTCTGTGTGTGTGCGCATGTGTATGTGAGAGTGACAGAAAGAGCTAATTACATTATACTGATTATTATTTTTCAACAGGGCAACCAAATTGCAATGAGCTTTATTTTATTATGTACTGTTTGGGGAGAAATCAGTTACCTTTGTTTTCATAGAGGTCAAATTCATGGCCGAACCCTTTTTTCACTCCACTTGACATGCTATTGAATGGGAACCAGAGGCATCGTTTCTTTGCCTTATCAAAGACAAAGGCCCTGAAAAAGATATCTGAATGAAAAGAAGGAATGCTACTATTTATACAGTTTTTAAAGAATGCACACATGGTTTACCAATGAAGGGAATATAAAAACAGATGCACCGTTACATATATATAATAACTTGATTGATATTTGAAACTGCCATTTTGATAGTCAAATAAGAAAGAACAAAATTAAGTTCTTGTAGCCCTGGATAGTGCCCAAAACCAAAGACCAAACCCACTGCCATCGAGTCAATTCCAATTCCCAGCAAACCTATAGGACAGGGTAGAACTGCCCCCATAGAGTTTCCCAGGCTCTAAATCTTTGCAGAAGCAGACTGCCACATCTTTCTCCCTCGGACTGGCTGGTAGGTTCCAGCTACTGACCTTTCACTTTACTGAACACTTTAATCACTGCCCCACCAGTTGCTAAGCAAAAGGTTGGTGGTTTGAGTCACCTCAGAGGCACCTCAGAAGAAAGGCCTGGTGATCTACTTCTAAAAAATAAATAAATGTATCAGCCATTGAAAACCCTATGGAATACAATTCTACTGTGACTCACATGGGGTCACCATGAGTCAGAATCGGCTCCATGGCAAATGTTTTCTTTTTTAGGTATAAATTTAAATATTTGATTGAATACTATTTAGAATAGTCTCCTGCTATTCTAAATGACTTTCAGAAAAATGAGGGCTTCAACAAGTAAAATCAATATAAAACTTGGCAAATTAGATTATTTCTGGAGTTTTTTTTTTTTTTGTTTTAGTAAGTGTGAAGAAGGTTGGAAGATTTTGTTTGCAGTTATATAGAAATGATTAAATTTGAAATATCATGATTAAAATCCAGTGTTTATAATTCTATAAAATTATATGCTGAAGTGACATTCCCTAAAGTATATTAGACAAGTTACCTGTACCAGGAGATTCTTCTAGGAAAATGGGATCTGAAGTGAAATAACTTTGTAAAATTTTGCACCTAATATACCTTTTTGGTGAGTTATAAAGCATTGAAGCATATTAAAGGCTATGAAATCTTGCTCTGTGAATAACTATTTATGCCAATGTTTTCTAAATAGACTTGCATAGAATTTTAAATTAAAAATTAATATCACAGATAATATGCTTTTGATATATCCTCTTGAAGAAAAATTACTAAAATGTTTTACTCCTAAAATTACCATTCCATTGCTAAGTATTATATTGTTTTGTTGTTGTTGTCCATTAAAAAAGCTATTCTACAGTCTAAGTTTTTTCTACGGTAAAATTTAAAAAAAAAAACACAAAACATTGCTTAACTGAGAATATTATACCAAAAACCAAACCCGTTGCCACTGAGTCGATTTGACTCATAGTGACTCCATGGGACAGAGTAGAACTACCCCCTTTCTCACGTTGAGCAGGCTGGTGTGATTGAACCGGCGTCCTTTTGGTTAGCAGCTGAGTGCTTAACCACTGCACCATGAGGGCTCCTTGAGAACAGCATATCAAAACCAAACCCACTGCCACTGAGTTTATTCCGACTCAATTTTAGAGGACAGAGTAGAACTGTCCCATAGGGTTTCCAAGACTGTAAATCTTTACAGAAGCAGATACCCACATCTTTCTCCACAGAGCAGCTGATGGGTTGTTGTTGTTTTTAGGTGCCATCAAGTTGGTTCCGACTCATAGCCACCCTATGTACAACAGAACAAAACACTGCCCAGTCGTGCGCCATCCTCACAATCTCCTCACAATCGTTGTTATGCTGGAGCTCATTGTTGCAGCCACTGTGTCAATCCATTTCATTAAGGGTCTTCCTCTTTTTCGCTGACCTTCTACTTTACCTAGCATGATGTCCTTCTCCAGAGACTGATCCCTCCTCCTAGATTCATAGTTCATACATTCCGTGTTCTGATTATTAATGGATGTTTGCAGCTATTTCTTCTCATTTTGAGTCATGCCACATCAGCAAATGATAGTCCTAAAAGCTTGACTCCATCCACGTCGTTAAGGTCGACTCTACTTTGAGGAGGCAGATCTTCCCTAATCCTCTTTGAGCGCCTTCCAACCTGGGGGGCTCATATTCCGGCACTATATCAGACAATGTCCCGCCGCTATTCGTAAGGTTTTCACTGGCTAATTCTTTTCAGAAGTAGGCTGCCGAGTCCTTTTTCCTAGTCTGTCTTAGTGTGGAAGCTCAGCTGAAACCTGTCTGCCATGGGTGACCCTGCTGGTATTTGAATACTGGTGGCATAGCTTCCAGCACCACAGCAACACGCAAGCCCCCACAGTACCACAAACTGACAGACATGTGGGGGATGGGTATAGTATAGTAAGTATAAAATACGTTAAATATTGTCATTCCTTACAATAGAGGATATGAAGTTGGAATTTTGAATTGTCTTCCTTGCATTAAGGAATGGTATTAAAACTATCCTTCTCACTATGTTCATGCTAAGTCCAATGCCACCATGTACAAGTATTCAGTTAAAGGACATACATAGATTTTTCTAAGAATAAGGATTTTCTCCTCCATTCCATATAATGTATTTATGAGAATCTAATTTTCTAGTAATTTTAGATATTTCAAATTTGTCATTTATTTCTTTGTATTTTGACAACTTTTAAATGAATTTTAAATAAGAAGAAACATTTTTTTAAATAATATTTTATTGAGTTTTTGGTGCAAGTTTACATAGCAAGTTAAGTTCCCATTTGACAATTGCACACACATTTTTCAGTGATATTAGTTACATGTATCATACTGTGTCAGCATTCTCTTTAATTGTGTTCAGTTTGTTCCATCTCCAGTAGACTAGTATTCCTGCCCTCTTATTGTCTCACCTTTGCTTTTTTTTTTTTTATACTTTAGATAAAGGTTTACAGAGCAAACTACTTCTCATTAAACAATTTATACACATATTGTTTTGTGACATTTGTTGCCAACCCCACGACATGTTAACACTCTCCCCTTCTTGACCTTAGGTTCCCCATTACCAACTTTCCTGTCCCCTCCTGCCTTCTCATCCTTGCCCCTAGGCTGGTGTGCCCATTTAGTCTCATTTTGTTTTATGGGCATGTCTAATCTTGGCTGAAGGGTGAACCTCAGGAGTGACTTCATTACTAAGCTAAAAGGGTATCTGGGGGTCATACTCTCAGGGTTTCTCCAGTCTCTATCAGACCAGTAAGTCTGGTCTTTTTGTGTGTGTGTGAGAATTTTGTGCTACATTTTTCTCCAGCCCTGTCCAGACCCTCTGTTGTGATCCCTGCCAGAACAGTCAGTGGTGGTAGCCAGGCACCAGCTAGTTGTGCTGGCCTCAGTCTAGTGGAGGCTGTGGTGTTTGCAGTTCATTAGTCCTTTGGACTAATCTTTCCCTTGTGTCTTTGGTTTTCTTCATTCTCCCTTGCTCCAGACGAGGTGAGACCAGTGGAGTATCTTAGATGGCCGCTCACAAGAGCAGAAATAATTTTTACAAAACAAATACAAAAAAGACATTTGTTGCTGTTGTTGGGTGCCACTGAGTGGATTCTAACTCATAGCGACCCCATGTGACACAGTAGAACTGCCCCATAGGGTGGTCTTGGCTGTAGTCTTTACAGAAACAGATCTCCAGTTCTTTCTCCTGGCAGAGCCACTGGGTGGGTTCGGACCGCCAGCCTTTCGGTTAGCAGCTGTTGCACCACCAAACCAAAAAACCAAACCAAACCCATTGCTGTCAAGTCAATTCCGATTCATAAAGATCCTGTAAGACAGAGTAGAACTTCCCCATAAGGTTTCCAAGGAGCAGCTGTTGGATTCAAACTGCTGACCTTTTGGTTAACAGCAGAGTTCTTAACCACAGTGCCACCAAGGCTCCGTTGCAAAACCAGGGCTTGTTAAAAAGACATTAAATTATTTAAAATATTTAAATTATATTCATAAACTTTACACTCTGATTTACATGTAGATATTTTGAAATATTTACTTTTAAAAATATTTTACAAGTAAAATATTAAGAATAAATCATAAAAGTAAATTTTTTTCAGCTGTCACAAAATAACTTGGTAAGAGAGAGTCCGCTAAAAGCAGACTTCAGTTTTGATCAGGTAGATGGTAAGCTCATGCAAAATATCTGCAGGGAAGTGGAGAGGAGTAATTAAATGATCTCGAAAGCATTGTAAGTAGATAAGGAATACAGATAAAGATAAAAACTCAATACACATCTAAAGAGAAAATTTAAAGTTATGGAAATCAGTAACCCCTCACTTAAGCTCACATTAAAATATGAATATAATGCACATCTATAAATTGCTTTTATATAAACAAATAACCATGATGTGAAATCCTCTTGCAGATTAGTATGGTTTTCTTCTTTTTTTGAAGACTCAGGAGCCCCATAGGAATATGAAAGATTTGTGTCTGTGACTACAAAGGTGCAGCCATCTTAGAAGTGGGTGGCAGAGTTTCCAGTTTGCTAATTTCATTCTTCATTTCTCTCATTCCGTTACATTGGCATGTACTCTCAGAAAAGTGTTTCCTTATGTTAGACCTCTATATAGAGTGATCCCAAGCCATCAAATTCTGAGTTACCTTCTCTTTTACATGTGATTTAAAAGTCTTCATCTTAGCCTTCTTTTAGTTACCATCCTCCTTTTAAGAATTTCTTTTGTCCATCTTCTAGTTGTTTATGACAAGAGGGCAATTCCAGTACCAGTTACTCAGTCATGGTTAGAAGAGGAAAACGTTCTGTCTTCTCTTGAGTCAATTCACAGGTTAGCAATTTTCTGAAGATCTTAGAGTCAGGCATTCTGGTCATCTTTCCTACTTACCAAAGAGCAATGTGAATCTCTGTAAAATCAATATTGTTGATGTCTTCTCAAGAAGATACAGTGTTTGAGAACGTTCCACCCCACCCCAACTCCATTCACGGATGCTTTCACACAGCTTTGCTGCTTTATTCCAAGCAATCTGGTATATTTGCCATTGTCTTCCAATGATTCTGGTGCATGTCACATATCTGCAAACAGGCTCCTTTGATTCATTAAGAATCTAATTTGAGTATCACACTTTATCCGTTCAATTCTAAATAACTTATATAATAGTGATTCCAAATACATAAGTATATGGAATAGATGGTGAGGAGTAGATGGGTGAGAAAGATGACACCATTTCTAGACAGAAGAACTTTGGATGTACATAGCTAATGTTACATGTAGTTTCCTGGACAGGTTGCCATAAATTTGGAAACTAAATGTAACTCAACCAGAACATGGTAGGAAAGTATGAAACCTCGTATACATGGTATATGTGAAGATTTATTAATCAGGCCACATGTGTGTTCTGATGTACCAAAATTATTTTACTTTCTTCTAAATAAAAGGAAAGTCCCCCTGCCCCCCCACACACACACATACCCCCTTCCCAACATGCGGCTGACTAACTTGAGAATTGAGTAGCACTGTTTTTCTTACTTGTGGGCCCAGGAGAATTTATTATCAGATTCAAAGTTAAAAACCAACACTGAGTGATGTGATTTTCCCATTCCCTTTACCCCAACCTTCCAACCCTGAGATAGGAAAATACAACAAATCCAACCTATTCAATTGCCAGAAGAACATCTCCATAAATCTGCATCTGACTTGTTGACTGAGAGTTGTTTTCTCTAATTTATTTTTAAACAATCTTAAGGCTTTTATAGAAAAGTCAGGGAATGCAACAGAATTATCATAGAAACATACTTGCAAAATCAATTTCCCACTCTCCTTGTCAGAAATATATCCCTGAAAGTGGCAGTTTAACTATAAAAATGCTTCCAGAAGAGCTATAAATGAATAGAAAGGAGATAGTCTCTGATCCCCCTAAATCTGTTGAGAGCTTCTCTGACCATGTCCTTTCCCCTCAGGCCCATAACACTCATTTTTTAGAGAAAAAAGCAAGATAAAATTAGAACTTCTTGCCATAACATTTCCAAACCCTATGTTCACATTTTGCATTACCATCCCAATGTAATAAAGTAGAATTCAAAATTTACAGGATTTCATGTGCAATCCTGTAAAAAATGGCATGAAATAGGGAATTAAAAGGTAGGAAGGAAGGGAATGTTCAGGAAGAAGAACTAGGAAATGCATCTTCTTCTGGCAGTCTGGGAGACTATTCAGATGAAATTGTCACCTTCATGGCCCAAAACTACATTCTTTTCTTCTGTGATTACTGACAAAGTAGTAAGGGATTCTTGCCTGTAAGGTCACACAGGGATGGTCAAAAGATAAGAAACTCTTCACATGAGTCCTCTCATGCATCTTTGAATTGCCCCATCACTATTCCCCTAAAACTTCATCATGGCTACTTCCTAACCTCTTTTAAACAGCCTCGGCTGCTGACACCAATTCCTCTACTTTTTATCTAATTATCTCAAAGTCATTTATTTAAACCCCTATAGACAATGATACTGTAGCCTCAACAGTGGGCTCAGACACAATCAAAGATCATGGAGGTGGTGCAACTGGACAATGTTTGGTTTTTTTATATATAAGGTGGCCATGGATTGGGGCCAACTCAATGGCAACTAACAACAAAAATAGACAATAATATAAGTTACAGTAAAGCTTGGATGTTGCCCAATTCATATTCTAAAAGTTTCTCCACTCCTCTTGAAAATAAAATATTTACTCTGAAGAGAATATTTTAAATTGTTAGGAAGATAAGTCTATCCAATTGAATTTTTAGTTCCTAGAGTGCAATTGCTTGTTAAGACGAGAAAACATAAATTCCATAACCAAAGTGACTGTGGATTCTAAAAGATACAGTTTATGTACTCTCCTTATTCAAGTTATATTTCTATCAACTGAGAGGTAAATCTTGTGTTGTAATGAGTTAAAACTAGAATCAAGCTTGTGGTTTTAAGGGCAAATTACGCTGAATACAACAAAACATGATTGTCATGATAACATACTATGTTTAGAAAATTACCCTAGGTAAAAAATGAAGTAACTTACTTGCAAGTAAATGGAAGTCCTTTATTCCTAATACATCTATTGGCACATTGGTCTGCTGTGTTCATTTTTTTGGTTTTTATCTTCAGTAATGGATCTTCTTTAATTAGGGTAGTTTTTGCTGACTTTTTGAATTCATGAAGTGTATTTCTTCTTTTCCTCTGTCCCTCTATTGAAAAAAAAAAAAAAATGGGGGCAATGCTTTTAAGACTCATATAAAAGAATGTCCTTAAGGATCAACTATAAGATAATGGTTTCATCTGAAAACATACTAGACCATGGGATGGAGGCGAGCAGTTCGGGGGAATGATACTCTCGGATAGTTAAGAGTAAGAAAGGAATATTGTAACCAGGGAAAAACAAATAACTTGTCATGTAGAGTCACTGATCTACATTTTTTAAATGAAGGACAACTTTTAAAAGGTAGGACAGAGTTCACTCTAAAGAAATAAATAACATGCTATTCTCCAAGCAACATAAAGGCAAGTATCAGTGCCAGAATCACACTATGTCATGCTTTACAATTAAATTTTCATACCCTTCTACAGTTGGTCCTTTCATAAGTTGCAGTATTGTAAGCCAATTCAAAGACAGGCGAGAAACTTCTCACTAAAAACTGTGCATTGGGCAAATTCTTCTGCCTTGTTCTTTAAAATACTTTATACTATTCAAGTTTTAGCCCTTCTTTTCTCATTTATTATATAAATGTTTTCTGTGCTTTTGGGCACTATTTCTTAGTATCACTGAACTGTTTGTCTTGAGATCAAGCCAAATGCTGTAAATCAAACGTATGTAAAACTTCATCCTTTAATGTAGCAATATCATTTTTCTTCATGAAAGTATTCTAAAAGGCCCCTAGATAGCAGAAAGACTCCTACTAAAACAGCTGAAAAACAGAACTAAAAGATCCTAAAAGACTTAATCTTAAGTTCATATTTAGGGTATCAAGAACTTGTTTCTTCAGTCTCAATTTGCCCAAAGCCACCCAGTTTCAAATGATGACCACCATCCTCACCATGGGGATAAGAACATCTAATATATTGCAGTTGTTGTGTAATGGGAGCCCTGGTAATGCCGTGGTTGAGAGCTCAGCCTGCTAGCCAGAAGGATGGCAGTTCAAATCCACCAGCTGCTCCTTGGAAACCCTATGGGGCAGTTCTACTCTGCCCTATGGAGTAGCTATGAGTCGGAATCAACTCAACAGCAGTGGGTTTGGTTTTTTTGGGGTAATGGAGATGGTCATGAATGTGTCCCTCCTTTGCCTGTCAACTCTTTTGAACATCCTTATAAAGAAGGCAAGGTTAGATTATTATATCCATTTTAAAAATTAAAAAACCAAGACTGAGTGGAAAATTAATTGACCCTTTAGAAGAGTTCATATTTGAAATCCAGCTGCTTGCCTTCAGAATCCTCACACTTAACCACTCACAATGCCATCTTTCTTTAAGAATTGCTAAGAATGTATGTGAAAATATGGTTTGTAATCATGTTCTGAAGATTTGTTTTAGAGATATCAATAGAGAAGAAACGGGTGGTAGAGCAGAAGATACATTGCTGGTCTTCATATGTGGTGAAATGTGTCAGGAAAAGAGAGTGAAATTTTTATGTTGAAAATTTGGAAATATGGCTAACAGAGAGAGGTACAAAGAATGGCATCATACTTTGTGTTTGCCAGTAACCACTGGCTCTAGTTGTTTTATTAAACATGCAGACATTCCTCATTAATGTTCATCCTAACCTGAAGTCCATAAAAAATGCTAATTCCTGGAATGATGCTTTCATCTTTAACTTTTTTTTTTTTGGCCCAACAGGATGAAATCCCTATGTTTACAACAGAGACAGTTTAAAAGACATTTTAAAACAGAAATTCAACCAATCAAATAATCTATCAGCATGTGCATTGTATAAATTCTGGCATTCTTATTGACTTGCCAAATGATCTTGTTTAATTACCTGAAATGTTAATACCCAGTTACTCAATCTACAAAATAAGTTATATTAACTTTAAATTGAAAGAGCTCTTTAAACTATAATTATTAAGTAAATATTTGGAAATCAATTTGGATAAAAAAAGCTTTGAAAATCCATCCTATAATTTTTGGCAGTAAGAGACAGTATCTCATTCAAAGAATGTGCGGTTTTTTCAAATGTTGTTTTCTGATACAGAACCATGTTCATTGGAGATATGTTTCTTCATTAAGAGTTTCTCCTTCCTTTGACCTTATTGCACTGCTTTCTAGGTGTTATGACGTATTTCCCATCATAATAATCATCTGATTTCCCATATAACTTTGAATATTTCTTAGAAACAAAAAATAATTAATGGATACAGAAAGTATATTTAAAAAACAACTGTCCATTAAAATAGAACAATTTTAAATATATACTTCTAAAATGAATTCTGTTAACTAAAAGTATAATTAAAATTAGCCTGATGTAAATATATTCATTATATATGTCTAAGTGTAGGAGAATAGCATAAAAATATATTCAAAAATGTCTAAGACAAGCCTTAAATTCATAAGTGCATTCTATTAATTATCAAATAAAAGAGAATCCCTGGTCTATGCTCTGGTTTCTTTTGCCAATACCACACAACTGAAGGCAAGCAATGAGGACTATTGTAGAGAAAAATGGTCCTCTGGAACTGTTGGTGCCTTTCATTCTAAAGATCCTCAGCTGTCATGTTGAAATGTGTTAATGAGTGGTTGTGCCTCAAAAAGCAATCCACTCTTATTTGTTGTTAAGTTCTTCCAACCCTACCTTTCATCTAAAGACCAGAAAGTATTCTGGAAAACAAATAAATCTATGATTTCCACTTACTAGATAATAAATGCAAGTGAAAAGCTTGTCTGGGGCTACAAAGCTAATCAGGGGCAATCGAAACCAGATACTAGGATTCCCTTCTCACAATTTACTTCTCATGACTTAGAAATTTTCCCTTAAAATTCAATCAGTAACTAATTACTCAAAAAATGTGAAGTTGTAGCTAGTTGTACATCATGTAATCTACACATCTATGAAATTAATTCCTTCTTCAATAAAAGAAAAATTCAAAACAGAAGTCATTCAAAAAAAGCATCTGAAAATAAAATTCCTTTGCTGAAAATAGTTCCAGCTCTCTTTTCCATATGTATTAACAACTGATGCTTGTTTTACTGAAAACAGTTAAAAGCCAAACTTAATTTGGGAAGAAACTCAAAAATATCTTTGGATGAGATTTTTCCCTACTATTTTTTGTGCGTGACTGTTAGCTGAAGTTTATAAACAAAATACTGAAATGAAATCAAAGGGTGAGAGATCATTGCAACTTTGTCATGCTTTCCTATGCTTTACATTACAACTCCCTTTTCCCGTCTTCCAGTATGAAAAAACATTCTGGAAGCTATATTTCCTCAAGAATGTGAAGTCCCTATTTTAGAACTGAAATCATTAGGATCCTAGTGAAAACCTGCAAACAGAAAGTAGGGTCAAATGTATCAAGGTGCTTGAAGAAAGACACATTTCTCCCTCTGGTCCCCGGGCTTCACAATCATTTCTCTCAGTACCTCATATATTTTCTTCTCTGTGTGGACTAACCATTGACTTCAAAGGAAAATCAGTGCAAGGAAGGATTTGCAGGGTGTGGAAAGAAGCAGGAATTTGGCTCCACACATTCTAAGAAATCTACCCCCATGATTAGTGATTAACAGCTTGAGGTGGCAAGATGTTAAGATGAAAGTATACAAATAATTAATGGAAAGGAATGGTTGTGACTGGAGATTTTAAGCTACCCAAAGACAAGAATCATAAAAAGAATTTCAAATTTTCATTGTTAGAATCAAAGGACATGGATTTCCCAAAATGACAATCATCTCCCCTTTTCAAAGAAGGAAATAATTTCACAAATAAAGATGTCAAAAGAAAAAGATTGAAGGATCATGTCAGATTTAAATAAAATGTTTGTATTTGAGAAACAGCATAATAATCTCTTCCCAGGAAATTTACAAAATGAAATGATGTTCAATGTAAGATTAGGGTCCTCCCTAGATATTTCCCTCCTTCCTCTTCTTTCCACTTCCTTGTTCAGGGATTCATGGTTATAGGACCCCCTCTTGGTCTCTGCCTTCACTGTCCATTTCAGCCTATAACTCCCCTTTCACACTGCAACTGAAGCAACCAAGCTAAAGTACAACTTTAATCAAGTACCTTGTCAACCCATACACTTTCAGCTGCTGCCCATGATGTCCAGAATAGAGACCGCATAGTTTAGCCTCATATTCAAGCCTATCGACGTTACTCCAATCTTATTTTCCAATCACAGGCCATACTACTCCCCATCACATACCCAGTATTCTAGCCTCACTTGATTACTTCGCCTTTCTAGGACAGTTTTCACTTTCTTACCTCTATGCCTTTGCCACTTTGTGTTCCTCTGACTTAGGTACCAACCATGGTATATAACCGTCATTTCAGGCTCAGCTTGGGTGCCATATACTCCCTAATCCTGATTTGATCCCCTAAGCTAGAAATAAACTTGCAACCATGGTATAATACTATTTCTAAATCAAGGGTTTTTTCATATTACTTAGCAAAATAGATTTTTTTTTAAAGTGATTTTCATTTTATTTTATTTCAGTATGAATAAAAGAGGAAAAAACCTACCTATTTCACTCACATAGATTTATAGATCTAGGTAGGACTGTCAGCTCTGTCCCTTAACTAGCTAAGATATAAGATAACATAATTAAAATCTTTAAGTCTCAGTTTCCTCATGTAAAATAATTCAATAATGTCAATCTTATTAGAATTAAGTAAGCTTTATTTTTAGAACTTTATCCATAGCAGTTGCTCAACAAATGGAGGTTTCTTTCTCATTTGTTCATCTTTGTATCCTGCACAGGCTCTTGGATATTAGATGCTCAGTTAATGCTGTTTTTGTTATAGAGGACTGAGTATTTGCTTCCAGTGTTGTGGGTATAGAAAGAGGATAATTATTCTATGTAGGTCTACAAGGATGGCTTGGGTCTACTATATTGAATATTTCTTAAGAAACTTTTTAATTAAGTACCTTCAAAGTGCATTTTCTTCATAACTGGTTGGCAACTTATTATAATATCCACTTCTTTTCTAAAATTGCATTATTTTACAATATGCACAAATATAAGTCATATAGTAAACCAAAAACTATAACCAAAGCAAGCAACAAAAACAACAACAAAAAAAAAACCTCTAAAATGTTCAACTTTAGATGACATAAAAAAGAACAAACCTTTTTTGTATGTTCTCAGAGGGCTGCCCATGTTTTCCATTTTGGAGAAATTTATTTAAAAAAAAATCAAAATAAACTTGCCATCCAAACCAAGGAAAGCCCTCCTTTGATGATATATTTTAGCACTATCCACTTCAGGAATTATTCACAGCATATCTGTAATTCCCCATTGGCCTCTCCCTGCTTGCCAGCACACTCTTGGGTTGCATTCTCCTTATACTCAGGAAACGCAGTCATTTCAACATTGGCCAAAGTGAAATATAATTACGAATGTATATCTCCTGCCAAAACCCCGTAATGCATGCCAAAAACAAATAGACATTGTCTATGGTTGATCTACTGTTTGGGTTTTCCACACTGTGTTCTCGCTTTCATTAGCACAGATGATTTCAGGTAACCATATTCTACTTCAGAACACCACCATTTTTATTTTTAGAAATGAAAGCTCTCCAAGTATTAGCCATGATTTCAGTGTATGCTCAGAATCCCCTAAATTAGCAATACCTTACAGGAATCCGTTTTAAAGTGACATATCTCAAGCATGTTAACCTGCTTGCTATGTGAAGAATGGTTTGAACTAATTTCTTTTTCACTTCTTGCAGAAATCTCACTTAAATGCTTTCAAATTGACCCTTCCCAAACAGTGTCACTTCCCAGAAGGGCCACTTAACAAAACAGAAGAAAGCCAGGTGGGGTGAATGACTTTTCTTGTCATTTAGTTCATTTTGAAGTTGTCAACCCTTGGAATACATCAGAAACTAGAACAGAGGTCTGATGAATTTCATATTTAATTCATCCCACAAGATATAGCCAGTTCTCTGTTTTATATTTTAAAAAGACCATGTCTACCATCTGGGCATTTGTTCCATTCCTTTATTCCCGTGTGCCCACCCTTGATGCTCACTGCCTTCTCCCGTTGGTATCCCAGCCACTACAATGATAATACAACCAAGTACAGATGTTTCCTCTTGTACTGATAACAAGAGAAACTCCCAAAATCAACAAATGAAATCTGTAAACCACCAGGCAATATGCACTCCTAAGTAAACCCTCCCCAAGTTTTACACTCAGGGAAGAAAGTGGGAGATTGAGGGGAGCAGTTCTGCAGCTTTAATCAAAGTCACACAATTTATGTCTTCCTTGCCCTGAAGTTTCGAAAAGGCAGGCATCCATACCCAGAAAGAATGAGATCTTAGAAGACAGGCTTTCTCTTTCATTTTTGAAATGTGCATATTCTCAGAGTTTAATCTGCCTTGTCCAAAGAAAAACCTGTATAGAGTCATAATTGGGCCCTGAATATTGGACTGGGGACGTGGAGAGTGGATTGCCATGGAAAATTGCCCTCTGGAAAAGGATGGCTCCCTGCTGTGCTGACCATCACTCTCACCAGTTCAGATCAGACGTTCTCTTCAGCTTTAAACTTGTCCAAACCAGCAAAGTTCCAGCAAGTGTTAGCACTTCATTTTAACTCCATAATCCACAACTGTTAGGCTAAGTGAAAGTGAGGCGGGGGCAGGGTTGGCTGGGGTATGTGAGGGAGGCTGAGGGAAGGTTAATTATCATTTTAAATTCTTTTCAAACAGAAAAAAGTATGTCAAAAGAAAGCACAAGAAAAGATTTTTTAAAAAAAAACCATGCCACTTGCTGAGTTAAGAAAGGATGCTGGGACTAGGCAGTGTTAGAAAGAAAAGGTAAGACTAGCAAGAGAGACTTAAGATAATAATAACAATGGTAATAAAGAAGAGAAAACTCACCTGCATAGGGGATGGCGATGGGAAGCAGGAGGAGGTGCAGGAGGACATGCTGCAGCAGCAGGACTGGCAGAAGTTTTGTCACCCACATGGTGCTGCTGGACAAGCTGGCGGATCCCACTGGAGGAGATGCCTGGACGAGAGAATCCTGTTCGGAGTCAGTGCCTAAAGAAGCCAGTCAGCTCTGAGCTGCTTTTTATTGCGATGAGCTAAGTTTGTTGTGTGATTAACTGGAAAGATCTAGGTCTGAACTCCCTCTTACGGTAAGAAAATGTTTAACAACAGCCCTTCACTCTCTTCCACCCTCCTCTTTTCCCCACTCCCCTACCCCCCCCCCACCCCCCAAACAACACCAAACAGATCCCAGCCTCCCCCCACCGCCTTCTCTGCTTAGGAAAGAAACTTACAAAGAAAAGGTCACCTGGCCTGAGGCCAGCTTCAATTTGGAAGCACGAGCTCCAGATCCCAGTGGCTCCTATCCGAACAGGGAAGGGAGGAGCAAGGCTCAACCCAATAGCTAAATCAAGGCACAGGCAGAGAACCAATTTGCTAAATTTAAACTGGAAAATACGTGTGTTTACATATCTATTTGGGAAAAGAGGAAGGGGAAGCAGCATAATAAGAAAGCAAAGAGCCGCCTTTCAGCCAAATGTGCCCTACCTCCCAATCTGTCTAGTTTCACTGCTAGAGCCATTGAGGGATTGGAAATTCAGACACTGGTTCCCCGGAGACCCAGAGGGAGGAGAGAGGGAGGCAGGGGAGAGGGCAGAGCCCAGGCAGGTCCAGCACAGGTAGAAAGAGAATAGATAAGAAAAGGGTGTGTACGGTGGAGCAAAAATAAATAAAATAAAATAAATAGGCAAAACAAAGCACACACACATTGTCAGGTGGGAAATTGCCCCTGCCCCATGTGCTGAGAGTAGGCAGATTCTTTTTATTTTTTCAGAAGCTATACTAAGCTCCAAAATCACCCTAAATTTGCCCAAAGTGCATTTAAAAAAAAAAAAAAGTCTTATTTCAAGTCTGTGATAAAATCTGGTGATGCTCTTTGTTGTAGTATCTAGAAGATTGCCATTATCCACTGCCTGTCCCTGGCAGGTAAATATAGCACAAACTGTATGTCCATGTACACACACACACACACACACACATTTATACATACCCACCCATAAGTAGGTATATATCTTCTAAGACTGACTTTCACTAGAAATCCATCAGGAATAATGAATGTGCCTATCTCCTTTAGCTCCATCCCCCTTCATGTGTCCACCAGCCTCCCCAAGTCTAACTGGAGGTAAGAAAGTTGTATGTGGGAGATCATTTCCCAGACCTCTCATTTTATTCTGGATTTGTCTTTGTACCTTGAGGTGGATGCTCTGATTAGGCAAGGGCTTGTTTTATTTTTAATGGACTTTGAGGGGTAGTTGCCCTTGTGTATCTCTGTATGAGTGTGAGTGGGGACCAGCTTCTCTGTCCACAGAAAAGGTGAACAAAATTCAGGAATGACTCTGAAGCACTGTGTGGCTGTGCAGAGTGGTCCACCCAACCAGTCCGTTGCCATCGAGTTGAACTGTCCCATAGGGTTTCCAAGGGACAGGTGGTGGATTTGAACTGCCGACCTTTTGGTTAGCAGCCGAATACTTAAACACTGCGCCACCCGGGCTGGGGGAGCAAAATTAAAGTCATGCGAAAAACAGCCTTTCCCACGTTCCTCCTCTTCCAATTCTCATTCCTCCTACAGTTCTTCCTACCCCTATCTCATAAAAAATCTGCTGATGGGCCCCAAATTTGTGGGATATCTAACGAAACTCGAGATTAAAAGAACTACTTCTGAGAGAAACATTTTACACTCTTTTCTATTGTTAATCGTTCTCTTTTTTCATTTTATCCTTATAAAAACAAAATTAAAAATAATCTGTTAGCCTATCCCTGGTGTCCTAAGTATCTATTTTACTTTCCTTTTTATTACCATTACACTTTTTGGAAAATCTCAATTTCAGTGTTCTTTCTGTCCATTACCCTGAATTTCCCCAGTGCATCTTTCGTGCTTTATTAGGGATTAAAACTGCCTTTAAAGAAGCTTTTTTTTTTTTTTTTGGTACGTAAATTCCTATAGGTAAAGAATGAAAGTGATCTCCTTTTTTGTTGTTGTTTGTTTGTTTTTCTCTCTCTGTCTGAGAAAGCAGTCAAAGCTGTAAGCATAATTGTAATTATTATAGGCTTGGAGCTAAATCTATTCAGGATAAGGGATTCAGGGTAACACACGAAGATTGAACAAGTTTATTTAATAAGTCACACTTTTTTTGTTATACAATTTTCTATTGTCACATTAAATAGGGTTGTCTTAGATATCTGGTGCTCCTATAACAGAAATACCACAAGTGGATGCCTTTAATAAAGAAAATTTATTCTCTCACAGTTTAGGAGGCCAGAAGTCCAAATTCAGGGTGCCAGCTCCAGGGGAAGCCTTTCTCCCTCTATTGGCCCTGGGAGAAGGTCCTTGTCATCAGTCTTCCCCTGGTCTAGGAGCTTCCCAAGGTAGGGTCCCAAGGGCGTGCTCCACTCCCAGAGCTTCTTTCTTGGTGATATGAGGTCCCCCTCCTCTCTGCTCAATTCTCTCTTTTGTATTTCGAAAGAGATTGACTCAAGATACAACCCAAAACCACCCACTGCCATAGCAACCCTATAGGATGGAGTCGAACTGCCTCATAGAGTTTCCATGGAGCAGCTGACCTTTTGGTTAGCAGCAATAAGTATTAACCACTACACCACCAGGGCTCCTAGTCCTGTAAATTGAGTCCTGCCTCATTAACATAACTACCTCTAATCCTACCTCATTAACAACATAAAGGTAGGATTTACAACATATAAGAAAATCACATCAGATGAGAAAATGGTGGACAACCACACAATACTGGGAATCATGGCCTAGCCAAGTTGACACACATTTTTGGGGGACACAATTCAATCCATAGCAAGGGTGAACACTTAAACCTATTTAATTGTTATATATTTATATTTCTCTTCTGACAAGACTTATTATATGGCTTATTTATACTGAAATAATAGCTAATATGCACTGAGCTTTTAGTGCACCCTAAGCATCATGGCTAAATACTCTTAAAAAGAGTGTCTTATTTAATCCTTGCAATAAACTTATAAAAAGTGAATTATTATAACTCCCATTTTGTAGTCATGGAAGCCTAGGTAAATTATTCTTATATACTTAAGTAACTTGCCCAAGATCCCAGAGGAACAAAATTTCAGGTGTGAAATTCAAAACCAGGATAGTCACTACCTATAAGGTAGAGTGAGTTTGTATAAGTCTTATGAGGAGAAACATTTTTTGTTTTTTGTTCAAGAGTATAATTGCCAGGATTAGCCTAAGGCCAAACATATAGGAGATGCTCAGTAATTATTTACAAAATAATCCAATAAATAATATGATAAAGTCTCCAAAAATTATAATAGAATAGACAAATACATTACCTATTATGCTATTAATTTATCTTGTCCTGATAATGCATTCTCTTTATTCTCTCTAAATCGTAATCAAAATGTTTTTCCTCATCCCCTGTTCATTACCTTTATTCTCCTTAAGGGTTAAACTGTATAATCCCCAGAAATGTGTCTAAAAGTTTTTTTCCCCTAAAATAGAAGATCTTGTAGAGAATACTTTGAATTCTACAATTTCTGTAGTAACTTAAATACAGTTTGGATACTCATTGCCGCATATAATATTTTAAATCTGTCTTAGATTAAATTTGTCTCTAGTGTCCTATGTAAACTGGAAGAATTGAATGGAAAAAAGTATGTTGTTCGTTTTTGTTTTTTTTAAGGCTGCAATTAGTTTGAAAAAAAAAAAAGTCTTTACCTTCAAAATCCCCATGTTTCTCAAGTGTGACTTATGTTTGTATCAAAGTATATCAGGAAGAAACTAATCCGACCCTATGCTCTGCAAACCACTAATGAGTTTTGTGCTCTTGAACTAGTCATTTCATTTATTAAGCACCTGGTACAGGCTAGATGCCATTCTGTTTGATGCTTTTACTCCTGTAGACTCAAATTAGTCAGACAGCATGGTTTCAAATCCCAGTTGTGTCACTTACTAACTTTGAGAAAGTTAAAGGTATTAGCCTCCCAATACTAATCCTCATTTTCCCTACCACTAAAATGGGAAACTACTGTGCGAAACACTTAACATGTCTTATCTCACTTAACACTCACTAGTCCTCCAAAAAAAAAAAAAGAGTTTTGTATATGTTGAGCAAATCATCGGATAAACTGGACTACATGAAGAAGAATGGGGCATCAGGATTGGAGGAAGACTCATTAACAACCTGCGTTATACAGGTGACACAACCTTGCTTGCTGAAAGTGAAGAGGACTTGAAGCACTTATTGATGAAGATCAAAGACTACAGCCTTCAGTATGGATTACACCTTAACATAAAGAAAACAAAAATCCTCACAACTGGACCAATAAACAATATCATGATAAATGGAGAAAAGATTGAAGTTATCAAGGATTTCATTTTACTTGGATCCACAATCAACACCCACAGAAGCAGCACTCAAGAAATCAAAAGACGCATTGCATTGGGCAAATCTGCTGCAAAAGACTCTTTAAAGTGTTAAAAAGCAAAGATGTCACTTTAAGGACTAAGGTGCGCCTGACCCAAACCATATTATTTTCAGTCATCTCATATGCATGGGAAAGCTGGGCAATGAATAAGGAACACCAGAGAAGAATTGATGCATTTGAATCATGGCGTCGGTGAAAAACATTGAATATACCGTGGACTGCCAAAAGAAGGAACAAATCGGTCTTGGAAGAAACACAGCCAGAATGCTCCTTAGAAGCAAGGATACCAAGACTTCGTCTCATGTACTTTGGGCATATTATCAGTTCCTGGAGAAGGACACCATGCTTGGTAAAGTGGAAGGTCAGCGAAAAAGAGGAAGACCCTCAACAAGATGGATTGACACAGTGGCTGCAACAATGGGCTCAAGCATAACAATGATCATGAGGATGGCGCAGGACTGGGCAGTGTTTCGTATTGTTGTACATAGGGTCGCTAGGAGTTGGAACCAACTTGACAGCGACTAACAACAACAGCATATCTAAGAGCTATGTCTTATTGTTGTCACTGATTTACAGAAAAACCAAGGTTTAGAGAAAAACCAGTTTAACCACTTTAGGTTAAACTGCTAATAAACCACTTAAGGTTAAACAGCTAATAAAGTGTGATTCTAAATCACACCGTCCAGATCTCAAGTCACTGCTCTCACACATTATGCCACATTGAAAGAGATTCAGATTGAAAGATTTCTGACATTCCTTCCAGCTTTAAAATTTGAGTGTTCTACTTATTTAAATTCTTTGGTGGTCACCATGCTTCTACACTATTGATTTCAACATCTAAGAAGCACCTGTGTAATCTTTGGTATTGCGTATCTTTCTTATATGATCATATCTTCTCTTTCTTTCCCTCTTTTTTGAATACAGGAGTCCTGGTGGTGCAGTGGTTAAAGTGCTTGGCTGCTAACCGAAAGGCTGGTGGTTTGAACCTACCAGCTGCTTCTCAGGAGAAAGATGTGGCAGTCTGCTTCCATTCTACTCTGTCCTACAGGGTCGCTATGAGTCTGAAGCAACTCCACGGCAGTGGGTTAGGGTTTTTTAATTCATCCTCTAAATGGTAATTTTTTTTTTCATCTAGAACCCCTCCCACTGAATAATTCATGTTGACTACCTTTAATGTAGGGAC